GCGGAGCTGCCAGCTTCTGCTTTCTTCCCACCAGCAGCCACACTGAGTGAGCCTCCAGTGGAGGGGAGGTTTGATCGTTCATCCAGGACCTGGGACACAGCAGCATCACTCTCCTCTTCGTCTTCCTCGTCACCCATGGCGTCGTCGATGGCATCATCCATCATCTCCTCCTTCATGCCCATGACCTCTGCATGTGGAAATGAACACATGTGGAAATGTTCATTTATAGCCAGGTACGGCCTTCCCCATTACAGAGGAACGCTCCCACCAGCCCCTGGGTGTGGCATTTTATGTATGTTATCTCATATACTCCCTTCCACAACGGAGACAGAATTTTGTTTTTGAGAGAGATGTTTGCTATAGGGTGCGTGCACTCGCCAGACAGACAGAGAGAGACATAGAGACAGAAAGCGAGAAATCACCCCCCAGGGGGGGATGGTCACACTGGGGGGATGGTCACGCTGCAATCCTTTCTCCTCCATTCTCCTCTCGGGATCTTGGGCACGCATGCACACGCGCCCGAGTGAGTTTTAAGCCACCGGGTCCAGGACGCGAACCGCGGTCGACAACGTGGGAGTCCAGCAACATAGCCATTACACTAACTGCTGGTTCCCCTTTTTTAAGAATTATTTATTTGGGGCCAGCAGGTGGCATGGTGTTAAAGGTTGTTGGACTCCCACATGGTTGACCGTGGTTCGAATCCTGAACCTGGCGGCTTGCTCTTTCTCTCTCTCTCTCTCCCCTCTCGCTTTGTCCCTCTCTGGTCAAATTTAAAAATAAGTAAATAAATAAAGTTAAATAAAAGAATTCTAAAAAAATATTTATGTAATGCCATTTGTTATTATTTTTTAATTTGACCAGAGAAAGAGAGAAAGGGAAAGGACAAAAGCAAGCTACCAGGTCCAGGATTCCAACCCTGTCTGCCACGTGGGAATTCAGCACCTTTAACCACCACGCTACCTGCTGGCCTTAGAAATCTTAGAAATGGAAGATCATTTGCTGATAATAACATGTTTTTTGATGTGCTTGATTGAGACAATATACAGTGTACTCTGCATGGAAAAGCTCATTTTATATACTATAATGATGTACAGTGAATGAATGCAAATAAATAATTGAAATTAAAAGAAATCTTTTTTAAAAGAATTATTTTAACTTTGTTTATTATTATTATTATTTTGCAATTTGACCAGAGAGAGAGAGAGAGAGAGGGAGGGAAAGTGAGAAAGGAAGCCACCAGGTCTGGGACCTGAACCATGGTTGACCATGTGGGAGTACAACATCTTTAACCACATAACCTGCCAGCCCCATAGGACAGATATCTTCCTCGCTGCATCTTACACAGGGACAGAAACTTAAGAATAGATTCTCTTGGGGGCCAGCAGTTGGCATGGTGGTTAAGATGCTGGACATTCCCACATGGCCCACCATGGTTCAAGTCCCGGACCTGGTGGCTTGCTTTCTCACTTTCCCCCTTTCTCTGTGTCTCTTGGGTTAAAAATAAATTAACGAATAAATAAAATTAAATAGACAATTAAAAAAAAGAAATTGTTTAAAAAACAGAATAGATTCTCTTATTGATGAACTTTTAATTTTTGCCTTCTTTACAAACGTGCAACGTTCTTTGCCGTTTTGTTTAATCTTTCCTGTTAGACAGTAAACTGCTGAAGGTGGGCGATTATAGGATGATGAATCAGTTGTAAAAGGTACCAAAATTCTTTTTTTGGAGAGGTTTTTCACTATAGGGCGCGTGCGCTTGCCAGACAGACAGAGAGAGACATAGAGACAGAAAGAGAGAAATCACCCCCCAGGGGGGATGGTCACGCCGCAATCCCTCCTCCTCCATTCTCCTCTCGGGACCTTGGGCACGCACGCACACGCGCCCGGCGTGAGATTTAAGCCACCGGGTCCGAGACGCGAACCGCGGTCGACTACGTGGGAGTCCAGCGACACAGCCATTACGCTAACTCTTAACTGGCCTAAAACCTGAGCAGGCAGATTACACACATATAGAGCACTCCCAGTTCTCCTCATCCGAAAAAGCTTCTAACAACACTGTAACTACAGCACAGATCAGCTGCCCAGGGAATTGGGGTCATCCCAGGGGACGCCCAACGCCGGCGTTTCATTGTAGGTCGTTTCCAAGGAGTTATTTGCTCCGCCAGGAAGGGAGAGTGCGTCTCGTTTGGTTATAGAAAAATGCACCGCCGGACCGACACCCTGGGTGCAAAGGGTCCCCTCCATGTCCCTGCGGAGGCAGCCTAGGCCCCCAGGCCTCGGTTAGTGCAGGGGAGGAACCCAGCGTTTGGCCCCGATGCTCTTCCGGGACCCGTGAGGAGGGGCCACTGCTTAAGTCCCGCCCCTCGAGGGGCGGAGCCGCGGCCCGAGACTGGTCTAATTCACTGCAGGTAACGCGGTATGCGGCTTGGTGACGGGGAGGTCTCGGGATTAGGGGTCCTGAGCGCCCCCGGGCCGCGGCGGCCACATCTTTAGGGTAATGCGTTCGTGCCGGCTAGAAAGGCCTAGAGAGGGCCTCTTCGGGCTCTGGCCCGGCTACCTAAACCGAATGGAGCTCGCCTGTCCTTCCCGACCTGTGTTCCATGCCCTAGAGCTGCCATGCGGAGGTGGAACTTGGGGGTTGGGGAGGGTAGCGGCTCGCGCGGAAGGTCCCCGCGTCCACCCCATGACCTCTGGACTTTGGGGCAGGTGGGCAGTGGCCTAGGCCTCAGGTGGGTTTTATCTATTCATCTCTCCATTAATCCATATTCTTCCTTTGGTCAGTCATCCCTTACTTGTGCTGGGTTTATTGGTAGGTTCTTTGAATGACTGTGACAGTCCCAGCCCTTTGGTAACTTAAGCCAGTGGAATTCAGTTTAGAATCTAAAAACTTTTAAGTAGATAATTATATCCAGAATGATTTTTGCAATGATGGTGGCCTAATAGAGACCGTTAGAGCCCAGAGAAAAAAGGAAATAATTTGTCTAGGTGGAAGTGGAAAGCACCCTAAAATTTGGGAAGGTTTCACTGAAGGGACATAAGAACTGGCTTTGCAGGTAGACAAGGAGGCTGCAAGTTTTCATCAAGGCAAGGGGCATTCCCAGTAGGGA